AGATCCTAGTTTTGGTCAGGCAGTTGTGGTGCACGCCTGTAATCCCAGCATTCAGGAGGCAGAGGCAGGTGAATGTGTGTGAGTTTGAGGCCAGCCTGGTCTACAAAGCATGTTCCAGGACAGTCAGAGATGTTATACAGAGAAACCCTGTCTCAAAAAAGAAAAAAAAAAGTCCTGGGTTTGAATCTCACTACTTCATAAAACCCTAGTCGGGCAGTCGTGACACACGCCTTTAATCCCAGCACTCGGGAACCAAAGGCAGGCAGACCTGTGTGAGTTCGAGGCCAGCCTGGTCTATAGAGTGAGTTCCAGGACAGGCTCCAAAGCTACACAAAGAAACCCTGTCTTAAACTCCAGCCCCCCCCCCAAAAAAAAACAAAAACAAACAAACAAAAACCAAACCTGTAATCCCAGTACTTAGAAGGTAGAGGCTAAGAACTGAGGAGGCAGCACTGATGGGACACTGGTCCACTCAAGCATATGGCTCTGGCAGGCCCTGCCCTTCTCCCCGTTCAGCTAGCCACTAAGGTCTAATATTTCCTTAGCATACCTAATTAAAACTAAAGACCTCATCCTAATACGGGGTTCCTCCTTTACCTTTATAAACAGCCATAAGCTTATGTGCCATGTCTGTCCCCCTCCACCCAGAGGCATTCCTTTGTCCTCCAGGACAAATACTCCTGCCCATTCCCTGTCCCCTAGCTCCTTTACCACCGCATCCTAGCCCATTCTAACAAAGACCTTCTCTTTTTCTCTTAAGAATGACACTTGCTGGGGTTGGAGAGCTGGCTCAGTGGTTAAGAGCACTGACTGCTCTTCCAGAGGTCCTGAGTTCAATTCCCAGCAACCACATGGTGGCTCACAGCCATCTATAATGAGACCTGGCACCCCCTTCTGGCTTGCGGGCACACATGGAAGGAATGCTGTACACATAATAAATAAATAAATATTAAAAAAAAAAAAAGAATGACACCTGCAGCCGGGCGATGGTGGCGCACGCCTTTAATCCCAGCACTCGGGAGGCAGAGGCAGGCGGATCTCTGTGAGTTCAAGACCAGCCTGCTCTACAGAGCTAGTTCCAGGACAAGCTCCAAAGCCACAGAGAAATCCTGTCTCGAAAAACCAAAAAAAAAAAAAAAGAGTGACACCTGCAAGGTCATTTGTTGCTGTTTTTCTGCTTCAGTCAGAAAGCAGCCACTTTAATTTTTCTTCCCTGCTTAATAAGGAATCTCTCTGTGAAAACACGTTTGGGTGTGGTTTCTACCTCATTCAAAGTCTGAAAGGAAGCCCCTGCTGCGCCTGATTCCCTTTCAAATATAGCAATCACAAAATGCCCAATTGATCCTGGTGCAAGCCTTTAATCGCAGCACGTGGAGGAGACAAACGCAGGTGGTTCTTTGTGAATTTGAGGCCCGGTCTGCGGAGCTAGTTCCAGGACAGCCAGGACTATTACACAGAGAAACCCTGTCTCAGAAAACCAAAAATAAAATAAAATGTCCAAGTCAGCAGACAATAAAAGATTACAAATATTTACTTCTAGAATAGACAGTCTCCAGTGAAGGTGGGCCTGCTTTTCATCAGCGCACTCAAGCTGGGATATTCCCAAAATCTGCATCATTTTCCTTAATTGGTCAAAAACAGAAATCAGAGTAACTAACAGTTCTGCCCCCGTGGCCAGGTAGCGATTTGGGGTAATTTAATAAAATATTCACTTCTCTCATCTGGAAAATGGGCTTTTGTTTTGGTTTGTTTTTCTTTTCTTTTCAATTTTAACTTATGTTAAGTCTGTGTGAATATATGCCATATATGCGCGAGTGCCAGGATGCCGAGAAAAGGGAGCTATGTTCCCTGGAGCTGAAGCTACAGGTGGCTGTCAGCAACACAACCTGGGTACTAGAAGCTGAACTTGGGTCCTCTACAGGAACAGCATTTGATTTTAACTGCTGAGCCATCACTTCAACCCCTGTTCTAAACACTCCAGAACCAAAAGAAAGAAAGAAAGAAAGAAAGAAAGAAAGAGGAAGGAAGGAAAGAAAGAGGGAAAGAAATTGTTCAATGGTTAAGAGAACCAAGTGCTCGACCAGAGGACCCTGGTTCAATTGACAGCACCTAAACAGCAGTGTACAACCATCTGTTAACTCCAGTCGCAGAGGATCCAAGGGCCTCATCTGGTCTCTATGGACACTGCATGCACATGGTGCACAGACATACGTGCAGGCAACACACTCATAGGAAATTGTTTGTAGTGGGGAGTGGGAGACAAAGGCTAGCCTAGTCAAGTCAAAAGAAAGAAAAGGGGGGAGGCTCTAGCCATATGTCATGGTACCACCCTCGCCTAGCCTCCTTGGGCACCAGGCACACACATGGTATGCCTGTATAGATATAAGGAAAACACTCACAGACATAAACTAAATAAGTATAAAACAAAACAAATCAAAATTTACAGGGGGTTGGAGAGATGGCTCAGCAGTTAAAAGGCTAAAAGCATTTGTTGCTCTTGCAGAGAACCTGGGTTCAGTTGCCAGCACCCACAGGGCACTTTACAACCATTCTTGACTCCAGTTTCAGGGGTCCAGTGCCCTCTTGTGTCTGTGGGTACCAGGCACACATGTAATGCGCATTCACGCATGCAGACAAAACACTCATATTCATAAAAACAAAATAATTTATTTAAATAAATGTTTCTGACCTGCTAATAAACATAGTTTATTTGTGGTATTAAGTTTTCATGTGAGAACTAGGGAAAAGACTATCCTTTTTCAGTGAACAGGAGCACAAGAAAGATAAGCAGGCCCAAAAATTTATTATTGTGTATTTGCTTGCTCCTCAAATTACCTTGCAAACAGAACTACATGCAAAAGCAGTAACATGAAATTTACACAGGTATGATAATTTCTGTCAGCCTATTGCCCCTTGAAGTGTACTCTCAAACTGTTCTTTAAAAAAATAAATTATACATATTTATGAGCCTGGCATTGTGATGCACACCTTCAATCTCAACACTTGGGAAGGAAAAGCAGAAGAATTTTCTTAAAGTTCAAGGCCAGTGTGGTTTGCATACTGAGTTCTAGGACAGCCAGGGCTATGTAGAAACCCTGTCCCCCAAAAATGTATTTTTTCAGTGTGTGTAGGCATGTGTGCACCCTCAGAGGCCAGTTGGATCCACTGGAACTGGAATTAGAGGTGGTTGTGAGTCACTTGACATGGGTGCTGGGACCAAACACAAGTACTTTAGACGAGTGAGTACGGGCTCCTAACCACTGAGCCATTTCTCCCCTCAGTGACCTGACTTTTTTTTTTTTGGGGGGGGGTGGCATTTTTCAAGACAGGGTTTCAACTATGTAACCCAGGCTGGCCTGAAACATTATGTAGAACATGCTGGTCTCAAACTCTGCCTGTCCCTGCCTCCACAGTGCTGGGATTAAAGGCCAAAATGTCCAGCATTTTTTTGTACTAAATTTTAAATTCATTTAATTTAGGTATATGAGTGTCTTGCCTGCATGCAAGTATGAGTATTGCATGTGTGCCAGGTGACCTTAGAGGTCAGAAATGGGTATTAGATCTCCTGAAACTCGAATTGCCAATGACTGTGGGCTGGGAATTGTACCAACATCTTCTACAAGAGCAACCAGTTCTGATTCTGGAATCAGGCTGTCTGGATTTATACCTTGGAACTAATATTGCTTATCTGGATAACATCCAGCAAACTAAATCTCTTTAGGCCTCAAGTTCCTCATCTATGACTTAACCTTAACACCTTCCAACTCGAATAGCAGGATTACTAAATGAGGTCATGCAGAAGAACAATTAGCAAGAGAGTAGTAAGTGTTGACAACTTAGGCACATGGATGTTTGCTATAAATGACTAACAGTGCTGGCCGGTGGTGCCTTTAACCCCAGCACTTGAGTTTGAGACCGGCTTGAGCTACAGAGCAAGTTCCAGGGCAGGCTCCAAAGCTACAGAGAAAACCTATCTCGAGAAAAAAAAAAGAGTAATGATGTGATGCCAGTCTATGGCTAACTGTGACCTAGACAATTGGTAAATTTAAGAACCTCCCCCAGAGCTCTCATATCTAAGACCATCCATGTGTAAATGAGGGTTGTCGATGTCCGATGTCCCTGCCTCTTGGTATTGTGGACAGACCATATAGGATGCTTAAAACGGTAAGCCCATTTGGGTGGAGAGGTGTCACACTCAGTAGTAGAGCACTTGTCTACACATGCACATAGCTTCAGGTTTAATCTACAGCACTGTTAAGAACAAAAACATGCAACATGCTCCATAAACGACACCTAGTGTTGGGCCTACTCCAATTCGGGACAAGATAAATGTCTCCAGAATGCCGCGGGGCATCGAGGACTGACTCCGTTTCCCTAAAAGGCTCCATGCAGGAGGTCTCCAACCGAGCTCAGCCAGGGGCCCAGTACCTGAGTCGCCCCCTGCGCTGACAGCCTGGACATCAGGCCCCGTCTGCACTCCGGGCGGCTGGCGGGGAACCGCGCCGCCGCCGGTAGAGTGTTCTTTGGGTTCGGGATCCATAGAGATGGATCTACAGGCGGCGTTAGCGTGAGTGAGGGCAAGGAATCACGTAAAGGGATGGGGACCGGAGACCGCAACGCAATCAAACCGCAGCGGTCACGAAGCCAACCTCCAGCGATGACGTTTCATCCGCAGTGGGCTGGAACCACCTCGCCGCAGCGCCGAGGGCGTGACGCCACACTCCCCTACAGCGCCTGCGCCACTTTCGCGCCACAAATTCGAGGTGGAGCGCTCTTCACGCGCCTTTGGTGGACCTCTCTACCCACAATTCCCCCGGCTCGCAATCATTTCCGTGGGCGCAAGCGTCCCTGTTGGTTCCGCCTCCAAATCCCGTGGTCCTCTGCGAAATGATATTTAAGTGTCGTCCGTTGTCCTTTTCGGTCTCATTTTTCCGTGTGCCAGGTAAGTGTTTTCTCTAGTGGTTTTTTTTTTTTTTTTTTTATAATAAAAAACAAACCAAACACACGCTGTAACGGCGGCTGGCTACGATCTCGCAGAGATCTGCCTGCCTTTGTTTTGATTAAAGGCGTGAACCACCACGCGTGGCTTTTCATTAAGAAGCAAGTATTTCTGACGGTTTTTGTTGCTTTAAGAGGCCGCGTGAACATAGCGCTTCCCAGACGTGATTCTGTGTAACGTCGGTAACTGGAGCAGGGAGGTTAATTACGTTTAGGGGTCTTCAGGACCTCGAAGCAGGAGGACTTTGTGAAGGACAAAATGGTGGCGGCGGTGCAGGGCCATCCCCGATGATGATTTCCTTTTCACAGACCTGTACTGATTTCCATGAGGATAAGTAATTCTGAGGAGGCTGGCCCAGTACCTAAAGTCTTTTGCCCCCACCCAGATTTCTCTTAAACGGAGGTGTAGAAATAACCAAATGCCAATTCGTTCCAGATTTGGGATGATTGCATACGGAAACATGGAAGTACGCGTCCTTTTTAAGAGTAAGTACTGGCTTAACTCCTTTTTGGTGACTGTAGGTGTTAAATGTGTTACCGGGATGATAATAAAAGCTGAACTCTCTCTTTCTGATGGTGCAGTGGAGAAAACAGAAAAATCTCTGAGTAGCACAAATCTGCAGCAGATAGCTGGGTTGGGTTTAGCGGAAAGTCTGTTGCTGAAGTGGTTTTGTTTCCATTTTCTCTTGCTCAGAAATGGTTGATGAAAGCGGAGTTTACGCTTTGGAAGCAGGCTAGATGGACCTTACAACTAAGACGTTTTGCTGGCAGTTGAGGTGGGTGTTCATGGTTCATGCACGCAGAGAAGAGGGAGCATATCTAGATGACCACTTAATGATGAGTGTAAATGACAAGCATATGCCTGAATTGCAGTGATGTCATTTCTCTGCTGAAAAGTGGGCTGAAAAGGATGGAGGGGGTACTGGGTGGCTATAAATAACGAAACTAAGTAATTTGGTTTTCCTCTGTACAGCATCCTGTAGCAATATTCTGAGGAATGCAGATGATCTCCCAGGATGATTACAGGTAATTGCCCAAATGAGGCTGCGACTCTCCCATAGCTGGAGAGTCTACAATAATGGGGAAACTTCGAAGCAGCACACAGCCCTCTTTCTTAGCTGCTCGTGTGCTCTGCTTTTTAAAGGACACCAGGTTAATAAACTCATTCATTAAAAGCCAAGTCACTGTCAGATGATTTGAATCAATGCGCTGATGCTCTGTGAAGGTTGAATTAATAGCATGTTAGAGTTCTGATGGCAGTTGGTGGTGATGGAGGAGGCCTGGTCCATCCTGATGGTTGAAAATAACTGCTTGCTACTCTTTTCCAGGTTGTCCTGATGGCTTGTCTAAAGGTGAGTTCGTTTTCTTTCTTTTTTTTTTTTTTTTAAGATTTTATTTATTACAAATACAATACAGTGTTCTGCCTCCATGTCAGAAGAGGGCACCATATCATTGTAGATGGTTGTGAGCCACCATGTGGTTGCTGGGAATTGAACTCAGGACCTCTGGAAGAGCAGTCAGTGTCCTTAACCGCTGCGCCATCTCTCCAGCCCCCTCTTTTAGTTTTTCAAGACAGGGTTTCTCTTTAGCTTTGGGGTCTGTCCTGGCACTAACTCTTGTAGACCAGGCTGGCCTCGAACTCAGATCCGCCTGCCTCCCGAGTCCTGGGATTAAAGGCGTGCGCCACCACCACCCGGCTGGTGAGTTCATTTTCATATTGACGGAGCGGAACATGTTTAGACTGGGTTTATAGCCCTCCTTTAGTCATAGTATCCTGGTGTTTCTCTGAGAGTTCAGTTTGGCTCCTTATTTCTCCTAGATAATTATCTCAAAATCAAGCAGGACTGAATATTTTGCTAGTGTGGTAACTGACAGAATTGGTTTCATAAGAGCCAAAGAACAATGAGCATGATTTATATAGCATGTTCCTGCTGGCTGTTAGGAGTAAGAGAACTAGGTATGGTGGTACTTTGCACTGAGGATGCAAGAGGATCTCTTGAGTTCTGGGGCTACACAGAAACGCTGTCTTAGGAAAAATAGACTAACGATGGGTATTAGCTTTCTGGAGTTTTAGCTAATTAACTTTCTTTATTTAGGAGAAGATAATTCCTGTATGTCACCAATCACCAGCATTCAGAGGTTAGCAGATTTATTTTTTATTTGCATAGGGTTCATGTAGGCAGTTTCTGTGATGAGTCAACTAGCTCACTATGACTACCAATGAAAACATATGAACACCTGAGAAACTGAGAAGTAGGCTGTGGGTATGGCTGTAAATCAAGCCTTTCATCCAACAGTTTGCTCTTTTTCGCAGGTTCTGTTAGCAGTGGCATCTTTGCTGGTTCAGAGGTAAGTACAGTGTGTTCATACATGTGACATTGGGTTTCAAGTTCCTAAAGGCACTTGAGTTTCATATGATGACTTTCATGGAATCTCGTTCGGCTGATGGTTGCTGTTGAGACTTGGAAATCTGAATTTATCACAGAAGAATGGGTTACATCAAGACAATTTATTGCACGGTTTTAAACATTTGACTTTTCTTGTTTCAGATCTGGTGTCTGCCCTAGAGCTGAGGAACCAACTTTGCCAGGTAAATGCTTTTGTGATGTTATTTGCTGTATAAACTGAGTATCAGTGTATAATGCTTTGATCTAGTGAATTCCTGCTCACCAGTGATGAGTTGAATACCGCCCCAGTCTGATAACTGTGGAGAAAGGTATTTTCTGAGTTGTGAGATCACCCTGGATCAATTGTGAGAACTATTTTTGAGTTAGTGCATGAATTCTACAAAATAAGCTTTCTTTAGAAGCAGTAAGAATAATGACCTTATTCTCTGCTCTGTCTTGCAGGAAAGTTGAGCACATCTTCACTCTGCTGGAATGAGGTGAGAAAGCATGGGTGTGTAAGGTGTACTGTGAACTAGTCTCCTCCCTATGAAGAAACTTTCACATGTCTTACTTCCTGTCCTAGCGCCAGAGCCTGAAAAGGTGAACCCACTGGGGCTGGCTGGGGGAAAAGAGGAAGATTTGTTCCAGAAGGAACTGTCTGAGGGATTGAGTTTTTATAGAGAGGAAAGAATTGTCAAGTGATAAGAGATAAAAGGTGGCTTGTCTTCCCAGGTCTGAAGAAAGGAGGAGCTTGTGAATGGTAAGTATGGTATTGAATATGGGCAGGTGGGAGTTTTGGTTAGGCAAGGGGTATCTGGAAGGCAGAGGATTGTCCATGTGGATGCATTTGGCATGCTACATTAACTTAATTAAAACTTTTACAGGAATGCAGATCTCCAAGAACAAAGATCTCTATTTCCTCGATAATTTGGAGTTGTGTGTCATCATTCTCTTAATAAAATTGTTTCTTTGCAATTTGTTGTTTGGTTCATCTGTTTGGGTTGATTCTAGGAATTACGGTCCAAAGGCCTGGTAGCGTGTGGCTTCTTTGAAACTTCATACTTTTGTCCTGTAAAATTATTTATTGCATTGGCTGTCCTACAACTGCCCCCCCCCCATGGGTATAGAATGTACCACTACCTTCTGGTCAAAAAGTCTACCTAGGTCAGTAGTACACGCCTTTAATCCCAGGCAAGGGCAGGTCAGCCTAGTCTATAACAGCTAGTTCCAGGACAGGCTCCAAAGCTGTAGTAGATAAACCAAAAGAAAGATGCAGTTGCGGGATATGGCAGTTACCATTTATATGAAGGTCTTTGGTATTTAACACTGAACTTTTGATGGCCATGCTTGCCTAAAGTGATACAATGAAGCCCCATCTCTACTAGCGTTTGAGGGCTTGGTGCATTTGGTCTACAGTTTTTGTTGATGCTTTTCCTGTTTGGATCACAGTGCTGAGGATCAAGCCTGAGCACTGCCAGAGTAGTACCGACTGAGCTACTTTTACTCATATCGCTTGAAGGTTGGTTGCATGGTTTCTAAGAATCTCAAAACTAGCATTGCTAGTTAATATGCTGGGAGGTTTTCTGGGAACTGGATTTGTTTTCCACTGTACCCTAAGATTGTGAGCTGCTATCAAGCTTGCCACACCAGTTTCCTATGTTGTAGTCCCCAGGTTAGGCTGTCCTTAACTGAAAATTTGTCTGCCAATACCGGTTGCTTGAGGGGGATGTTGAGCCCTAGGTTTCATGATGTCCTCTCGATCAATTCAAATTCCAGCTGCTAAACAGGATGGCCATACCCTATCGTGTAGCTTGCAGCACTAGCACAAAATTACAGGTGAATCTGTTAATCCCCCCAATAGAGAATAAAGCCAGATTTGAAGTAAAATGGGTGGATAGGGTCTAAGTCCATACATACACAGGTTACAATAGCTTCCAGCATTTCACGAACCATCTGTCCTTAGTCAAGGGACTTGTAAACCAGAGGCATTTTGTCTCATGCATACTAATCCAAACTTAGAATGTAATTTTTGGTGTCACGAGTCCTGTGCTAAAAGACCAAGTAGTAACAGGGCTGGAAACAGGCTGTCAAACTACTCTGTCTTGCTGTTTCACTAATCCTGCCAAAATGATAGACGAAAAGTAATTTGCCATTACACCAGGAAAAGGGACAGACCTTGGCAAAAAATTTTTAGGCAAGGCTGTGGACTATGAGGAGCCATTGTGACTCTTAACAGTAGTGTCGAGGTTGGGTGGGGTGGGGAGGCTGGAGAGATGGCTCAGCAGTTAAGAGCACATACTGCTCTTCCAGAGGCTCTGAGTTCAATTTCCATGGCAGCTCACAACTGTAATTCTATAATCTGTAAATCTGATGACACCATCACACAGAAATACATGCAGGCAAAACAATATGCATCAAATAAATAAAAAGTAGTTGGGGACAAGGCCAGAATGGTTGATTTATAGCAGCAAGGAGTTGGATGTGAGATTACTGGTGAGATCTGATGTCATATGCAATCCCAGTCAGTATCATCTTAGGCTACACAGCAAATTCAAAACAACTGGAAAAAGATAATGCACACCAAAGAAACTGCGGTTGTATTTCAGCTCTGTCATCTGGCTGTCAGAATTCATACCCAAGTTGTTCTTCCCACTCAAGCACCAGGGCATTCTGCCACATGTGCACTAATGGTTCCCGGGTTCTGTTCTTTTTTTTCGAAACGGTTTCTCTGTGTATTTTTGGTGTCTGTCCTATGACTAGTTCTTGTAGAGCAGGCTGGCCTCAAACTCAGAGATTCACCTGTCTCTGCCTCTTGAGTGCTGGGATTAAAGGCATGTATCACCACTGCTCGGCTCAGGGTTTCTTTTTTTTTTTTTTTTTTGGTTTTTCAAGACAGGGTTTCTCTGTGGCTTTGGAGCCTGTCCTGGAACTATCTCTTGTAGACCAGGCTAGTCTCAAACTCACAGAGATCCGCCTGCCTCTGCCTCCCCCGAGTGCTGGGATTAAAGGCGTGCGCCACCACTGCCCGGCCAGGGTTTCTTAATTTAAAGCTTTGCAGCATATATTTGGGAGAGCCTCTCTCTCTCTCACACACACACTTTTATTTTTAATGATTTACCTTTTTTTTTTGCTTTTAGTCTTTTTTTAAAAAAGATTATTTATTTATACAGTGTTCTTTCTGCATGTATGCCTGCATGCCAGAAGAGGACACCAAATCTCATTACAGATGGTTGTGAGCCACTATGTGGTTGCTGGGAATTGAACTCAGGACCTCTTGAAGAGCAACCAGTGCTCTTAACCTCTGAGCCATCGGTCCAAGCAAATGCACAGATCTTTGTCTTTCTTGAGATGGGGTTTCAGTTTCAGTCCTCCCTCTGTAGCCCAGACTGGCTCAGTCTTTTGAGTATTGGAATTAAAGGTGTGTTCGACCACACTTGACTTAGATGTTTCATATTAACCTTGCAAATTTGTTTTCCAAAGTAGAGCCTTTTTTATTTTTTCTATTATGGAGTCTCAATGTGAACAAATAAAACGATGTGGTCTCTACTTTTCAAAACTGATCTAAACGGATTGACAGTTTCACTTTCCATCTTTAGTTTTCATTTATAGCCAAGAATGAAGTCACACGTTGGGCGGTGGTGGCACTTGCCTTTAATCCCGGCACTCAGGAAGCAGAAACAGACCTGTGAGTTCAAAGGCCAGCCTGTTCTGCAAAGTGGGTTCACTAAAACCTGAGCAGATCTTGGTGAGTTTGAGGCCATCCTGGTTTACAGAACGAGTTCCAGGACAGGCTCCAAAGCTAAAGAGAAACCTTGAAATATTTAGTTTTCGTTTATGGTCAAGAATGAAGTCACGCGCCAAGGTGGTGTTGGCACACGCCTTTAATCCTAGCACTTGGGACACAGAGGCAGGCGAATTTCTGAATTTGAGACCAGCTCGGCCTACAGAGTCAGTTCTAGGACAGCCAGGGCTACACAGAGAAACCCTGTCTCGAAAAACAAAACAAAAGCAGAAAGAAAAAAGAAGGAAGAGACGGAGGGAGGGAGGGAGGTAAGAAGAAAAGAATGAATCACTTCTGAAATTCCTTTAATAGTGCGGAACATAAGCCAACACAGGATAGAGACCTATGAGAGCAGGCTCCACCCACCCAGGATTGCAGTTCAGAAAGGATGCTTTTCACTGACAGAGCGAAATGATCCTTACTTTTCAGTTCTCCATAAACAAGATTATCCTGTTTGTAGTTTTCCGTTTGTTTGGTTTTTGTTTTTTCCGTAAAGCTTTAACAAGGTGGGGTTGGCAGAGTTTTGCGGTCCCTACTTTTCCTGCTTCCAGAATGGAGCTGTCCGAACTGAGCCTGTTTGAAATCAGTCTGTAATTCCCAGCTACTGTGAGGCTGACTCAGGACTATAAAAATCAAGGCCCGTCTAGATTACAAAGTGGGTTCACGGCTTACCTGGGTTTAAAAAAAAAAAACAAAAACAAAAAACAAAAACAACGGACCTGAACTATAATTCACCGAGGTTGGGTTAATGACACGAGCGCTCTCCGCACTTTGTTTCTTGCGGTTTGTTTTGTTTTTGTTCGTTTGTTTGCTTGTTTTTTAAGACAAGGTCTCACTGTGTAGCCCTAGCTGGCCAGTAACCCATAGAGCTCTAAAGCCACAAAGAAACCCTGTCTCGAAAAGGTACAAGGGTGGGGCATGCGGGGGGGGGGGGGGGGGGGGGGGGGGGAGAAAGAGAGGAGGGGGGAGAGGCGGGGGGAGGAGACTGGTTCGTGTCGTCAAAATTTGAATCCGGCGCCCCCTGATTATGCAGGTGGTGGCGCGCCGGAAGTCGAGTCATCGGCTGCTCCGCGATGGCGGCCACCTCTGCGCTAGGAAACCATGTGTGGGTCGGCACCGAGACGGGGATCCTGAAAGGTGAGTGTTTGTGTTGTTCGTCCGAAAGTGTAGAAGTCGCTTGTCACCCCAGCGTGACTGACGTCCTCGTCCCTCAGGGGTGAACTTTCAGCGAAAACATGCGTCAAACTTCACGCCGTCCGGACAGCCGAGGCGTGAGGAGGCGGTGAATGCTCTGTGCTGGGGCGCAGGTGGCGAGACCCAGGTGAGTGACCACTCGCCCGGCCTGAGCTAAGAGACGGGCCCGGCAGCCCTGCTCTTCTCCCATCCTTCCCTTCTCTGCTGGCAGATCTTGGTGGGCTGCGCAGACAGGACTGTAAAGCACTTTAACGCCGAGGAGGGTACATTCCAGAGGCAGAGACACTGCCCAGGCGGGGAGGGCACGTTCCGCGGTCTCGCCCAGGCCGATGGGTAAGGAGTATACCCTAGCTCAGGTCACAGGAAGAGCATTGAGTCTCCCTTGGGTGAACTGAATGCTGAAGTTAAACCCTTAGATGATACAGCCTATGGGTGATTGCAAACCGTGTTCTTGCTTTCATTCATTCCTATAACATGCATTTATTGGAAAGCTACTGAATGCCAGATATCAGGGAAAAGTCCAAGGGTTTGGGTAAAATATGTGCCTTCATAAAGTTTGCATCCAACAGTTTTTGTCCTGGCTCCTGTATAATGTTCTGTGCAAGTATTCTCATGCTTTTGAGCATGCTTTTAAGTAGTGATTGACAAAAACCAATAAGATAATGAAACTTCCAAAGAGATAACTAGGAAGGAAGATTCCCGTAGGTTAGATTAGTTATCTTTAGTTATCTAGGTGCAGCTTCTCTAGAGAAGGCTGTGTTAGTGATTCAATAGGTGAGCTCCAGAAAGAATATGCAGAGGATGGAGTTTTGAACTAGGTCTTAACATACAAGAATAATCTTTTTTTTTTTTTTTTTTTTTTTTTTTTTCGAGACAGGGTTTCTCTGTGGCTTTGGATCCTGTCCTGGAACTAGCTCTGTAGACCAGGGTGGTCTCGAACTCACGGAGATCCGCCTGCCTCTGCCTCCCGAGTGCTGGGATTAAAGGCGTGCGCCACCAT